AATATTACGGAATTTTAATATCTGAAAAATTTTCGAAAATTTTTCGGAAATTTCCGTAATATTTTGTAAAAAATTCCAAAAATTTAATACCATATTAAAATTCCGGAAATTTTTGCTTATTAAATTTCCTGATTTAAGTACTTCTGATATATAAAGTACATATTTGGTAACCATTTTTGTGTTGCCTAATTTAGATATCAATAAAAGTGGTACTCCAAGGTATTGAAAAAAGTGATACTTCAAAGTTTTTGAATTAGTAATACTTCAAGGTATTAAAAAGTGATACTCCAAAGTTTTCGAATTAGTGATACCCCAGATTACATTTTCTGATTATAAATAGTGTTCACGTTCCTCGATACATGTTCGATAATGATATCCCAAAGTTTTCGATATAGTGATATCCCAAAGTTTTCAATATAGTGATATCCCAAAGTTTTCGATATAGTGATATCCCAAAGTTTTCGATATAGTGATATCCCAAAGTTTTCGATATAGTGATATTTTGAAATATATAAAAAGTACGATTTAGGTATCAGTATAAGCCAGCTAAATACTGAAAAAAGTGATACCCCAAGGAATAATTATTACAGAAAGATATATAATATAAAATTATGCTTTGGAGTATTAGTGAATATGATAATAATTCGGCACTACGTGCCTTGGGTTTGATATATTTTTTGTCATCCCAAAAACCTTCCAGGTGAGAATAGATGCTTTACTATGTTTCGCATCAGGACCTTCCAAGTGGAACTATTTCAGCACTACGTGCCTCAACTCTAGCTCTCATCGAGGAATTAATCAGAAAGCTAGGGCACTACGTGCCCAGTTCGGATATAGCCCTCACATCGGGCCACAAATGACGATATATGATTGAATGTATTATCAGATATATTTTTTACCCATGTGATCAACTTTTATTATCAGACCACATGCTCACTGCCAACCTGATATATGTCAGTTTGAGTGCAGCCTAAAAAGCAAAATGCACGCCACTCGAGTGTGGCCTAAAAAGCAAAATGCATGCCACATTGACATATGTCTTAGCGGCTCTCAAATGATAATACAAATGTAACCTATATGGCACCCAATGTGTAGACTACTATAGTCTCAGGTGTGTGGCCTAAAAAGCAAAATGCACATCACTCGAATGCGGCCTAAAAAGCAAAATGCACGTCACACTTGAGATTATAGTAGTCTAATTTAAGCTGTTTGGAGTTTATATAAACTCCAAACAGCTATATATTATATTTATATAAAAATATATAATTAATGTTACATAATATAAATATATAATAAATAGTATCTTAGGTCTTACAAGACCAATTCAGATGGTTACATATGATAATTAATAAATAAAATATAATAAAAGAAATAAAATAAAATAAGATAAATGATTAACACATGGGATTGCAAATCTATTGTATATCAAAGCTAATCACATATGCTATCATTCATTATCAAAATATAAAGATAAAAATATAAATAATAAAATAGAAAATAAAATAATAAAATAAAAGTAAAATAAAATAATGAAATAGGTAGGAGTTGCCACTCATCAACTACGTAAGTTATGACGTAGTAGAAACTGTTACAAATCGTTTGTTAATCTCAAGTATAATTTCAGTTGTTTTTAGTTCAGTCTAAGTACAATAATAGAGAAAAACATAAATCTAAAATTAATTAAAATAAAAGCACATACAGGAATATCTCTAAATGATAAAGCAGACGAACTAGCTCAAAAAGGAACAACAAGTAAAATGATAGTAGATCTTAACTATGAATATAATTTTATAGAAAACTATTAATTAAAAAATGAAAACAAATTCTTAGATTACCCAGTACAAGAATTAACCAAAGACATCGCTAACATTCAAAACCTAATCAATTGGAAAACACAACTTAGATTTATTTAATCATTTAATAGAAACATTAAAAAAACAGTAGACTGGAATGTAATAAAAGAAGCTTTAATCTACTCAAAATTAACAAATGGAGAAACATCGAGTACAGACCAAAATCTAAGAACATTCAAAATTAAAATAATATGTGATGAATTAATAATATATTCAAGATTAAATAATCTCAAAGAAAAAATATATCAGAACCCTAATTGTCCAAGATGTAAAACACAAATAGAGTCAATACTCCACATCTTCACATGTCAAGTTAACAAAGAAAATTTCAAACAAATATAGATAAATATGATAAAAAACCACCTTAAGCAACTAAATATCAACCATGACAAAATTAGAAATTTCATAAAGAAAAAAATAATGAAGAACAAACTATATTCTTTCGACCTTAATAGAATAAATACATGGAAAACAATAAAAGACTCAAAATTTAGCTTAAGCGATATAATAAGAGGACTTATACCAAAACAACTAATTAACTAAATAGCAGCAATATCAAAATCAGATAGAAAAATAGCCAAAGAAAAAGTTCTCAAAATATACTACATCACAATGGCAAAACTATACGAATTGTGGTTAGAAAGAAATAACCAAACTCAAGAAACAAATGAGCAAAAAGAAATGAAAAAGAAAATGGAAGAATTCCCAAATACAAAAACAAAAAATAATGAAAAATATAAAAAACAAAAAAAAAAAATAGAAAGATCCAAGGATCACATCTTAAATATAGCAATAGATTATATATTACAAATAGATACTTCAATTTACAAGTTTATTTTCAATTTATTAAGAATAGATGTTAGTGGGGCCATAGCAGTTGAAACTTACTAATTGTAAAATCTAATTTTACATGGTGGTAGGTTAAGTGGTATCATTAGATTAGCTAATGCAATTTCACCATATTTTTTATAATACTTATAGGAAACTGTATGAGATTGTGCCAGTTTGCTAAAATAAATAAATAAAATAAATAAATTCGTTCACGTCTAATTAAAGTCAAAAATTTCACTAGATACTATGAAAAGTGTTTCTAATAAAGTTGTAGACATTGCTCTTGGCTACAATTTCATATAAGATAGTTGATATCTATCTTTGAAATGTATTGAAAGTGGTATAGGTAATGTTCAAAGATTAAATTTTTTATTTTTTGTCAATTTTATTTGAAGCATAATTTTGCTATGTACAGACACTTAATTTCAACACAAAATATATCATATGATAGCCCTGGTTTAGGGTAATCTAATAAAAAAAAGCCTGTGCAAATTAGATTACTCGTTGTGGCACAATTAGCATTTTAATTTTAGTAATTTTTTTTAAAATTTTCAACTGTCTGGTGATTTTTGATCACCCACTGTACAAAGTACAAAGCTGACAATATATAACTTTAATATAAATTAGGCATTCTTAGAGACTACAATTCTACATTTCTACATTTTTTAAATTTCTACATTTTTAAGTTTCCAAAATTTCCTATCATTAATATTAAAATTTAATATAATTGTAATAAACCTATTATATTAGTTGACTCAATAAAATTAATAAATTAAAAAGAATTATTGTTATTAAGTAATAAATATCTTTTCTAAATTTTCTAAAATCAATTTTTTTTTTAAATATTAACAAATAATTAATTGGTTAAATTAATTAAAATTTCATTGTTCTAATAATAATATTAATAATATGTTTTGTATGATTAATTTATTTCTATTGTTCTATTATTTCTTGTTTAAAATATTCGTGATTTAATCTCCACGTTTTAACTTTTATATTAATATTTGAAACATAATCTTTAATTGCTGTCAAAAAAAAAGATGATGAAAGAATGATATTAGTAATGTAACAAATTTTTTTTTTTTTTTTTACAAAAATGTAAGATAATTTAAAAAAAAATTTCATTAATAAGAAAGAAATAAATAAAAAATAGATGAAAATAAGAAAATACAATTTTCTTTATTGACAATACCTTGAGAAGTAAAAGATTCCTTGTATTTAACTCTTACATACCAAAATGGTATACCAGCAAGTATAAAACATAATGCAGCAAGTGATTCTAATGGAACCTTTACAAATGGCATTACAATCAAGAATACTGCAACACAACAAAATATAAGGGGTGTGGTAAGCCATACTTTGTATGGTCTAAATAAATTTAATATTATAAATGTGATAATATAAATTTGAATATTATAAATTTAATATTAAATTAAATATATTTAATTAAAAAATATAAATTAGTAAAGAAATAAATGGATACTAACCTTTCAAGATTTGGTTCTCTCCAACGTAATATAAACAAACCAAATGACGTAAGAAAATAAAATACCCAACCGGCCACCGAAACGAAATTTAATAATGTAGTAAAACTTCCCGGTATAATAAAGACGATTGTTAAAACGGCTTGCATAATTAACGCAGCGGTTGGAGTATTCCAAGTGGAATGTACTTTACCGAATACAGTTGGTAAATATCCTTCTCTACCAGCAACGTATATTAACCTAGAACCAGTGAAAATACCACCATTAGCAGCTCCAAAACAGCTAGCTGCTACACAAAGAGCGAAAAGGATACCTCCTACTGGTCCAAACATTTCTCTACCGAAATCCTGATAAATTTATAATAATAAATTCAAAAAAAAAAATAAAATAAAAAAAATAGATTTAAATATAATAAAATAAATTCAAAAAAAAAATAAAATAAAATAAATAAATAAATTTAAAAATGATCAGTAAGAATTAAATAATTAATATTTACCAAAGCTATTGTATTTGTCTGAATTACTATTGAAGAAGGTAAAACTGCATAATAAGCAACATTTGCCAATAGATAAAATATTATGACCAAAGGTAAGCCAACCATAATAACCCGAGGTAAATCTCGTTCTGGATTTTCCATTTCGCCAGCAATAAAATTTACATTATTCCTAAAATTTAAATAATTTAATAATTTAAATATTGCAATAAATAATGAATGAATTATTAAAATTAAATAAATTAAATCATAACTTACCACCCATCATATGCCCAAAGCCCTAATAAATAGATAAATAAATAGATAAATAAATAATAAATAATAAATAAATAATAAATAAATAATAATAATAAATAAATAATTCTACTTCTTCCCGAGTTAAAGAAAATTCAATAATTCTTCCAAAAAAAAAAAAAAAAATCCTTAATAAAAATAAAATATATATCTAAATAAATATTTAATTGATTTATTTACCTGAATAAAATGCCAAAGCGTAATCACCCGCTTTAGTTGAAGTACCATAAAACAAATCTTCATCAAAATTTTCGTTTCTTCCACCTTTACCCAATACTACAAAACCTATAACCGCTATAACAGCTAAAGAAAACATTTTAACTGCAGTAAATAGATCTTGCGTTCTTGTAGCAAGACGTACACTATAAGTATTAATTAATGATACCGTAATTACACATAATATGGCAACAATTTTATTTAACCATTTATGTGTTGCTGCAGTTGGATGTTCTTTTGCATCATCGAATGCCGTATGATAAATTATACGATTTAAATATTCAGCAAAAATTACTGCTATGATTGCATTCCCTCCTGGCTAAAAATTAGATAAAATTAAATAAAATTAGAATTAGAATTAAAATTAAAAATAAAATTAAAAAATAGAATTGAAAATAGAATTCATGATGAATAATAAAATATATTTAAATTAAAATATATATTAATATATATTAAATAAAATAAAATAAAATAAAATAAAATACCTTTAAACACGTTATTGCTGTCCAACTAAATAAAAATGCTGGTAAACTACCATAAGCGTGTGATAAATATGCATGCTCACCCCCTGAAATAGGTATTTCTGTTCCTAATTCTGCATATGTAAGGGCTCCAGTACATGCTAATAAACCACATATAAGCCATACTACTAAAGACATTCCTACTGATCCCGCATTTTTAACTACTGGACCTGGGGATGCAAAAATTCCTGAACCTATCATTGTACCTAAAACTAACGTTAATCCATTTAAAAATGTTATTTTTTTTTCTAAATGTGTTGGACGTCTTTGGGTTTCTGTTAATGTTAACGGTATAAGATGCTCATCGAAATCAAAGAAATCACTATGTCTTTCATTATCTTGAATAAATGAAGTTTGTTGATCTTCCTCTTCTCCTATACTATCTAATTCATATTCTTCATTATTCCGTTCGGTATTAAGTTCTTCCCTGGAAGCATTAAATAATATAGTCCTTTCTTCTAGATCAGACATTTTCTAATTTTAACAGAGAATAAATAAAATTAGTAAAAAATATGGTTCAAATAAAGATCAGATCAATTGGTAGAGCTTGTTACACGTTTCACTTTTCTAATCCAAAAATCATAATTGTGTATAATTTTTTAATGTATTAAATTTAGATTAACTACATAAAATTAAATTAAACTAACTTTAAATTTTTCCCACGAGATGATGCTTGATGTTATCTAATGTAATGACTAATATAAATAAATAAAATTACTAATTTATTCAATTTATTCGCCGTATGATTTTTTTTTTCTTGTAAAATTTACCCAATTTACTTTATGAATTATCCATGACTAACTAAAATGGGAAAAACACATAAAAGTCAATTCCTATAAATTGATGAGAAAAAAATGACAATGTTTAAGGGAATTCGTTGTTTATCTCATTTATCATTTAGAACGATGACCACCCAGGCTAAAGAGTCTTCAATTTTGAAATGGGCATCTGATGATGGAGAATTTCGTAGGAAATCCTCAAATTTTCGTAATCATATTAAGAAAGATCTCAATGCAGATTTTACTTCTGAAAAGTGCGATAAAGAATTACAAAAAAAAATTTTTTTTCTTTCTTTTAATAAAATTTTTTTAATAATAAATTTTTTTAATAAATTTAATTTTTTTTGGACAATTAGAGACCGTTATCATTTATTCGTTAGCTGGGCTTGTCCTTGGGTATTGTTTTTATAAAAATTGAAAAAGATTATTTATTATAAAATAGATATAAATAACATTTATTTTTTTTTTTTAAAAAAAAAAATAGGCGCACAGAACAATAATCGTTCGTGCACTTAAAGGACTTGAAAATGTTATTGGATTAAGCGTTGTTGATTATTTTCTTGGTGAAAAAGGTTGGAGCTTTACTCCACCCGTTGAGATTCCAGGATCTTCAGAGAAGGCTCAACATCTTAGTGATATATATTTCAAGGCTAATTCTCATTATGAAGGAAGGTAAGTACAATATTTGATATTTATTTAAATGTATAATATTATATATAAGACAAAGGAAAATTTAAAATTTCGAAATTATTGCGTCATTTAGATTTACTGTCCCTGTTCTTTGGGATAAAAAGTTAAAGACGATTGGTGACTTTCTAACTATTATTATAATTAATAATTAATTAATAATTAATGAATTAATAATTAATCGTTATTAACTTATTTCTTAATTATTATTATGATGATTATTATTATTATTATTATTCTCATTATTATAGTTAATAATGAATCTAGTGAAATCATTCGCATGTTAAATGATGTTTTCGATGATTTTATTCCCGAAGAAAAAAAGGGTTTGACTTTTTACCCTGAAAATTTACGTTCACAAATTGATGATATTAATGAATGGGTTTATGATACTGTGAATAATGGTGTTTATAAATGTGGATTTGCTACTACTCAAGCCGCATGTAAATATTAAATACATTTATTTTTTTATAATTAATTCTAATAATATTTAATTATACAATTACTAATATTTTTTTTTTCCAATTATATATTTTATAGATGATAAAAATATTACTCCTCTATTTAATTCTTTGGATAAATTGGAGGAAATTCTTTCCAAGAATAAATTCCTTGTTGGAAATATTTTAACCGAAGCTGACATTAGACTTTGGACTACCATTATCCGGTGATTTATATATGTCTTTTTAATATATCTGATAAATAAATATATATATATTTATATATATATTTATTAAATTCATTTTTTTTTCTTTTATTTATAATAATATAGATTTGATCCTGTTTATCATACTCATTTCAAATGTAATTTAAAATCTATTGAATATAATTATCCTCATCTTCTTGCCTGGGCAAGAAGAATTTATCAAATGCCAAAAGGTAAATTATTGTTAATATTTTCAGTATAATTTATTTTATTATTTTTATTATTTAATTATTATTAATTATTTTATTATATCCTTATCATTATTATTATTTTATCATTATTAGTTGCTTCAACTGTTAATATGCATCATATCAAACATCATTACTTTGAAAGTCATAAGCAAATTAATCCAACTGGAATTGTTCCTATTAGAAATGGTCCAGGTAATTTATTTATGATTCTATTTTTTAAGTATTATATTTTTTAAATATTAATATATATTTATATTTTACATATTTTATATTTTAGATCTTGGACTTCCGATCATTGATCATTAAGAAACTCGAGATTATTAATTTAAAATATTTACTTATATCTGAACGTTTTTGTGATTATATTTTTTTTGAATATTTTTGAGAGGTTTAAATATATAAATAAATCTATAATTTTGATCATATAAAAATGTTCAATATATATATATATTAATCCGTACAGATGTAATTAACTAATTGCGCGATCATCTTTAATATTCAATTGCTGACAATTAATGTTGAGTGCAATTTATTTACCATCTTATTATACGCATTTTGTCTAAAATTATTCGTTAATGTCTCTTGGGATGCATTTACCAACAGCTAGCTATGTATAATTCATAATTATTTTTTCAAAAATCACGTCACAATCTTTGACTTTAAATTATAATAAGGATAAACGAGTGAGGTACAAAGTAGATAAAAAAACATTATGACCGAATTCATGTGAGAAGATAACTATGTTTTTCAACAAGGTCAAATTCTAAAGCACATTGTTTGACGCGACGAACCAATGTGGTTTATTTTTGACAACAGTTCTGTTTATAGTATGAAGAACCTGCTCTTAGTAAGAGTTGTATAATTCCTTTGGTAAAACAACATAAAAATTGATATCTGAATTGTCTTCTGTATTAATATATTTTTCCAAGCCACTCTTAACGATAGGATAACTTTCAAACTTAAATCCTTCTAATTAAAGAAGTTTTAATAAAAATATTATAAAATTTAAACCTTATTTTAAAATATTTTTACTTTCCAGCTTAAATATGAAGATATTTTGTTGATGTCAAGATTTTTTGTTAGAGATTAATCATTTAATATTAGTTAAATCGAATTTGTACCTTTACCTTTTGGATCTTATATTACCGGAGTAAAAAAATAATCTAAGCAATGCAAATATATTTATAACTAAAAGGAATGATATACAACCACTATCGGGTGTATTGGATGGCATTAGATTATGTCAGTTCGCCATAATATTTCATATATACAGTAACTCACAACGAAAGAGACTCACCTGTGCATGCCTTCCCTGCCGATATTGACAAAAACCAACTTATCGAACATCTCAAGAAAATTATCAAAGCGGAGAACCACATACATTTGGAAAGGTAGAAATTCCATTCCTGACGATCGCATGATTAATTGGCTGACAAGACCGTGACAAACAAAAAGAATTTGTAAATTCTTTTCTGAACGGCTTGCCAATGAGTTTATTCATGCCATCGTAAAGTTGTCACGTAAAATGCTGAGCACAATATACAATTTTTTTCGTATTCTCCATAATATTTACTCAAGTGTATACGCATCTTGATCTTTCTAGTTCTCAGCCTGGAAGAGGCGTTGTCATATGTTACGCCACCCATTAGAATACTACTAAATTGACGGTAGACTTTTCTAATCTGCTTTGGGACATTTTTTTTTTTGAAGTGAATCCAAAGACCGCATTTTTAAACGTAGTCAATGAAGAGGGTGTCGTGACGTTTTCAACAATACTATTTACATGGTATTAAGTTTTAAGAGATATTGGCGAACGAACCTTTGTAAATCGGATAAGATTGTAATTCTGCAGATTTACATGTGTGAACAATCATCAATACAATGTCCTCTCCACTTATGACAATCACCGGTTTCATATGTGACCTTATCAAAGCTTTCTATTTCAGGTGGACTTGTAAGTTTGGAAACTAGTCTAAATCGTTTATTTAGTCTTAAAACTGGAATGTATCTGTTTAGCTGATTCGGTCTCACTTATGCTTGGGTACTTCGCATGTACAAGAAGTGAATATGAATTCAGGTTTTCATTAATTATTTTATTTACCTTAATTTATTTATCAATTTATTATTATTATTTTTTCGTTTATTAGTTTGGTCACCAAAGAAATTCATGCGTTCCTGAATGTCCTCACGTATTAAAAAATGTTTTATTTCATATTCACTCTTCTGAAAAAGTCGGAATTATTGGAATAACTGGAATAATTTATTATTTATTTATTTATATTAAATTAGGATTTGGAAAATCTACATTGAATGGAACCAACTTCTGGTCAAATTATTATTGAAAATATAAATTTTTTCTTCAATCGGCCCTTCGATTTAAGAAATACATTTACTATAATAACCTCAAGATCCTGTTCTTTGGAAATTTATGATAAAAATAATTTTGATAAAATTTAATGAATTTTATCAAAATTTTTTAGGAGTAATTTAGATTCCTTTAGAGAATGTGATGATGAAAGAATTATGAAATGCTCTCACTTGATAATAATTGTGATAGTAATAGTACGTATCTAATCACAGTAATTTTTACAAGAAAATCAGTTTCACAAGTGAAATTTCTTATATTGAGAGTTGAACGTAATAAGAGTAGTACAAATAACGTTCAGCGCATCAAATAAATTGGGGTTTGGATTCATTAGTTAGTGAAAATGTTAATAAACTTTTCTCAAGGTCAAAAGAAATTAATAGCTCTGGCTAGAGCATTGATCCGGAAATCGAATTTAATTATAATAGATGAAGCAATGGCAAGTGTAGATTTTAAAACGGATGGATTGATTCAAGGGATTATTTGTCAAGAATTTAGTGATGCCATTTTATTATGTATTGCTCATCGTTTAAGAACTGTCGTGGATTATGATATGATTTTAGAACGGTCAACCCTCAATCTAGTGGCTGAGCCAATCAGGCCTTCGTTATAAAAAAATTCATAAAATTAATATTTTTAAATAAAGAAATTAATTTATGATTTAAACAAATGTGGAGCGATTTTTCACCAAGATATTCTTAAAAAAAACTTGAAAGCTCCTGTTTAAAGCTTCCCAATGGTAACTTGATCATCTTTAGCATCAGAATTCGCATCAAGCCAAAAGTTATGAGATGCACTTTGCCAAGTTATTATCGTATAAAAATGATACCTCAAAATCGGGTTGAAAAAAAATTCTTCGAAAAATTCGTTCGTACTACGTCATGTCATAATTAATTTTATTAAGTATTTTTTTTTTTTTAACAAAGCCGTGCAGTAAATTAGACATAAGTTTAATTTTAGCAAGCTTCTTTATGTATTTTTTTTTTGTTTTATTATTTTTCACATGTAATAAATAGTTTAAAAATCAAAGTTATGAAAAAATAAAATTAATATAGTACACATTTTATTAAGAAGCACTACAATCACAATCTCTGGTATTCCAATTTGAGTATTAAAGTTTTCCTTTTACTATGGCCAATCAAAACCGTGAATTTTTGTTTTACGGATCATCCCGACGAAGAAAAAAGGTGAAAAACGTGAAAAATACAAGAAACAGATGTCTAAACATGTCTTGTGCATTAACAAAAAGTGTCGGGGAGGAAATTTTACATATAGTACCTACTTAAACCCTAACCCTGACTCTAACATTAATTATCAAGTTCAAAAAGTTCTAAAAGGTCATTTTTTAGGCAAATCATCACAAGGAAATCAAAGTAATATTTTTTTTTTAATATCGTTTTTAATATATATTTATTTAATGAATTTTTTTTTTTTTTATAAATAGGTCCTGGATATTTAATAGATATCACATTTTATTATATCATTTCTTTGGAATGACTTAACTTATTTACTTTTTATTATTACTCAAGACATCTAAGTTTAACTTTTATTTATAACTACTTTGTATAGTGGTAGGTTAGGCCGTAGTTTTTAACTTAGTCAGATTTTATTCTTCATGTATTTCTTTATTGATTTATAATTAATGAATAAAGTCGAGACCTCGCTGGTCCAGTTAAATTATAGCTACTTTGTATTTCATTTATTATATTTATGTATTTATTTTATTTTGAATATTTTGAATTAAAAGATATTATTTTAAAAGTCAAAGATCGTGATGTACCTTGAAAATCCGTAGCATAATAATATTTATTTAGTTATAAATAAAAATATTTTTTTGTGTAGTATACAACAAAATTTTAAATTATTATTTAAATATTTTATCGTTTGCTGCAAAAATTATGACGTAGTAATATATATTGATATTAGCAAATTATGTCAACAAGTGGCAACAAAAAAATCGATCATTTTATCAAAAAAAAATACAGTTATCGAAAAATTAAACATTTGGTATCCTGAACCATAACAATTTTTAAATGGGTGCCTAATATATTGCAAAAGATGGTTTTTATACGGAAAATTGGAGAAAAAAATTAGTTTTGGTATTTATGATAGAGAAAATAAACAGTCAAAAAGAAAGTTGTTTTGAAAATTTTAAATAACTCCCAGAATGTTGGAATTTATAAATGATTCATAAATTTTGTATTTTTTTTAAATATGGCTATCAGTTTTTGTAATGGAGTGGAGTAACCCAAGTTCAAAAAACTAAAAATTATGCATTTAGTCTTTGCCAGGCTTCGTACTAATTTGCCTCAGTACATAAAGTACATAAAGTAATAATGATTTTGTCATTTTATGAAAATCACAAATCTTGATACAATAAGGAAAAATAAGATTTAGTCGTAAGAAAAAAATTTTTCCTTCTATCTTTCACCCCTCAATCTCAATCTTTATCTTTATCTCCTAACCCCTAAAAATAATATCTCGTATAATATGGCTTAAATATTATCAGATTAGGACAATATATAACCAGTGTGGGAGTACCATTAAAAAATACAGTTTCACAAAAATAGTTCTGGAATATTCTTATTGCAAGTCTAATTCTGTTTATGGAAGAAAGACTGAGGAATTTGTAATCGTGTAACAATTATATTGATCGCCCAATCGAATTAGGAATAAAATTCAATTCCTACTTTTCAGAAAACGTATGAAATGAAACATTTTTTAATGCGGAAGGAGCATATTTCATTATTTCTCGGTAATTATTAACTATTGGGTGGTGTAACATATGACAACGCCAAATAATAAAGATGAGTAAATATTATTTTTTTCGTTTGATTTTTACATGCAGATCATTAACTTATTAACTTACGCAATAAAAACAGGAGTTCTAAGTCCGGTTTTTATGTATGTATGTATGTGATGTCGGATAAAATAGTTGAAAGTATGTATGTAGAATTCAATATTATAAATGGAAAAAGTAAAAAGTGTGATGTCTTTATTCCGTAAAAGTATAACGTTACACTTCAGCAGTAGATAGCGTAAAAAGGATATAAAAAGGATATAAAAAGGACAGCTGCTAAATTATCTGCTCAAAAAAAAAAAAAACAATAACTGATAGTAACTTAAAGTGAATAATTATTAATTTAATTTTTTCGGATGATACTTGAAGTTAAATAATTAAGTTTCTCAAACTACATTTTATTCATTAACTGCAATTAAATAAACGTGAATTGATAGTGTATAAAAATCATATGGATATCCTTAGTAACAGTCTTCAGGCTTTAGCTATCATTACCTTTCTAAGAGGTGTAAAAGCATAAGTCGTAATCGCAACCACCTAACAAATTATATTAAAAGTTATTAAGACTCTAAACAAGTAGTTATTATTTATTGTGAAGTCTAAAGCTTGAACGATTATTATTGGGAAAACCCAAGAATCTTGTGAGCAGATATATTAAAATAAAACTGATCGTTGCCTTCTAAACATTTAACCAAACTGAAAGTGTGTCTATGGACACACCATTATAAACTTCTAAAAGTTTACCTACAAAATAGGTATCTCGGTAACAACATCAGTAATAACATAATCTAACAACTTAACCCAAAGCACTTGAAAAATTATTCTATGAATTTCGGTACAAGTGATAAGCGTAAAGAGTTCCTATTCGTATATAATACGTTAGAATTTTTATTTGAATATGTTTGAACCTGTCGACTTGAACACGTGTCAAAATTGTGGAAAAGTAACATATATTGATATTAGAAAATTATGCCAACAATGTTATACGAGTGGCAATAAAAACATTGATAATTTCATCGAACACACCCAGTTATCAGGTTTAAAATTATACCTCAAAGAATATTATAAAATAAAACCTAAATCACAACCATATCTATATTTAGAATGGGTTCCATTTAATAATTTTTTAGATATTGAATATATTGCAGAAGGTGGATTTAGTAAAATTTTTAAAGCAACTTTGAATTTAAATGGTCAGAAAAGGCACATTGTTTTAAAAGTTTTAAATTACTCCAAGAATGTGGAGACAAAATTTTTAAACGAGGTAATTAATCACTTCGTGCTTATTAACATTTAATTAAATTTTTTCATTTTATTTTTTATTTTTTTTTTAAAAAAAATATAGCTAAAACTTACCTATGAGTTGAAGTCAAAATTTATAGTAATATGGAGCAACCCAAGACCCAAAAACCAAGAACTATGCATTTATCTTGGATTATGCACCAAATGGAGATTTAAATCATTTTTTAAATAAAAATTTTAAAAAAGTTACGTGGAAAAAAAAAATTGATTTACTTCGTGATATTATTATTGGAATTAAATTACTTCACGATAATAAAATTATACACTGTGATTTACATAGTGGCAATATTCTCATTATTACGAATGATGTTTTTGAAGCAGTTATTTCTGATTTAGGATTTAGTCAACGAGTACCCGTTAATTCAGAAAATTCAAAGAAACCTCAAAAGTATGGTGTAATTCCTTATATGGCGCCAGAACTTTTTAAGGGTGAACCATATACATTTGCATCAGACATCTACAGTTTAGGAATGATTATGTGGGAATTAACAACGGGACATAAACCATTTCATGATGAAGAACATGGTCTAAAACTTATATTAGATATTTTAGATGGAAAGCGACCTGAAATCACTAAAGATACACCAGAATGTTGGGCAAATTTAA